CCTGCCGATGCAGGGGACATGGGTTCATGCCCCAGTCCGGGAAGATCGCACATGCCGTGGAAAGGCTAGGCCCGTGAGCCATGGCCACTGAGCCTGCGCGTCTGGAGCCTGTGCTCCGCAACGGGAGGGGCCACAACAGTGAGAGGCCCATGTACCGCAAAAAAAAAAAGAAGAAGTAAAAATTATAAAACTGAAAACCATAAAAAAAAAAAAATTTATCAGAAAGAAGATGTGACACATATATACAATGGAATATTACTCAGCCATAAAGAGAAATGAAATTGAGTTATTTGTAGTGAGGTGGATGGATCTAGAGTCTCTCATACAGAGTGAAGTAAGTCAGAAAGAGAAAAACAAATACCATATGCTAACACATATATATGGAATCTAAAAAAAAAAAAGGTTCTAATGAACCTAGGGACAGGACAGGAATAAACATGCAGACGTACGGAATGGACTTGAGGACACGGGGAGGTGGAAGGGTAAGCTGGGACGAAGTGAGAGAGTAGCATTGACATATATACGCTACGAAATGTAAAACAGATAACTAGTGGGAAGCAGCTGCATCCCACGGGGAGATCAGCTCGATGCTTTGTGACCACCTAGAGGGCTGCGATAGGGAGGGTGAGAGATGCAAGAGGGAGGGGATATGGGGATATATGTATACATATAGCTGATTCACTTTGTTATACAGCAGAAACTAACACAACATTGTAAAGCAATTATACTCCAATAAAGATGTTAAAAAAAAATAGTATTGCTTTTTCCTTTTTTTTAGTGTCTTGGAATTCTAAGGTGTTATAAAAGCGGTGTAAGAGATAGTTATAGGGGAAAAAAAAGAGATAGTTATAGGAATAGATACCTAAATAAATTTTAGAACTATTCTAAATTACGTTTACACTTATACTATTCATTCAATCAGCATTAGGAAGCATCTACTGTATATTCAGCATTCAGATAGCAGGCATAAATTATTTCATGAATAATTAAAGTGAAAGCATCTAATATTATAAGAAAGAGGTACATTTTACCTGGATTAGATGAGGCAATGCTTTTAGTGTAAGGCAAAACCAAATTCCCAGCTTGCAGGGGAGCAAATCATGCCATTGTGGTTTCACCAGTAATCTAAAGGGAAAACAAAAAGCAAAAATAAAGAAGCAAAATATAGAAAGAAAGTTGACAGACAAAAATATTTTTATAATAATCATGAATTCTGTTTTGAATGGCTATTTCAACAAAGGAAGAAGTTTTTCAATGAAATATTTATGACAGTTATCACTTAATCTGAAGTATTCTATCATAAAATATATTAGTACAACAAATGCAATTATGTATAATAAGTAAGAGAATCTAGGCTAAGATTTTGGGGAAGGGGACTTGTAATCAAGTTATAAAGATAAAGAAACAAAAGCCCTGTTTCTAACCTGGACTTTTCATCAGTTTGGCAAAATGAATTCTTAAACCTTATGATTATTTCAGCGGTAAAAGACTAAACATCATCAGAGTGTCCCCAAGTGCTGACAAGCAGATATGAAGACTGTAGCATAAACAAACCAATACATAAAAATTAATGTCATTTGCAGTTCACTGAAGCATTACTCACTGATGTCATCAGAACAGAAGACAGGCAGAATAGTCTCTGATCTCCATCTCACATTGATCCAGTTCCTGCCCTGCTGTGTGAACTATTTAAACCCTTTATTTCTTCCTATGAATCAATAGAAGAAATGGTAGTATCTCTTTGAGTGTGCTGCATATCACTGTCTCTCTACATACTGTCACTCCTGAGCTAAACACTACAGTGATAGACTCTCCTAGTAATACTTTGTTTCTAAAGTTCAGTATAAAATTTTCAAATAACAAGAATTCAGGGGTTTAATTATGTAAATATATATGAACACTTTACAAAGGGAAAAACCTGTAGAACTTTTGCTTAAGATTAGAATGTGTTTCATAAACTATGGCACAGTATTAGTCTTTTATAAACTGAATACAGATGTAAATGTTAGCATATCTGAAATGGATATACATATGAAGTTGAATCACATTAAAGACATATTTTAAAACAATTTTGAATTATAAAATGTTTTTATATGCTCCCACCTTTCATTTTTTTCTGAAGCACCAAGTTTTGATACATCCACAGTCTTGCCGCCTGTCTTTTTTTTCTTTTCTCTCTTTTTTCTACTAAGCAGTTCATCCTTAATGTGGAAAAAATTATGGTTACAGGTTATCATTAACATGTACTCTTCAAATGTTATCAAGAGTCTTCTGTGAAGGGTAAACATTATAGAAGAACATTTATGCAAATGTATGTAGGGTCCAACATGATTAAGTAAAATCATCAATCTTTAACAATAACTGTTGCCATGGTAACCAGTCCTTAAACACACATGAAGTTCAGCACTGTCAGTCATGTGTATCTCCATAGCAATCAAAGTTTTCTAAGAAGAGAAGGCATTCAACTTACTTCTTCTCATTCATCCAACTTTAATAATGTCACTTCAAAAAGAATGAGTAAACAGATGCTAATTCATGAATACTGATAAATATGTTTATCTTTAGCATATAAATAAAAGCCCATAGCAGAATAAACTATGTAGTAGTATATTAGGCTAAGAAAAATGTAATATTTTTTAACCAACTGATCTCTGAAATTATAAACTTATACTCATTTCAAGTTTGACTGAGTTAAGAGCTTTTAAAATAATCATTCTTTATATAAGGGCCTGCGACACAAAAATTTCTAAAATCATTTTACATAAAAAATATGTATATCTGGAAGGTGACAATTAAGAAAACATAGCTCTACCTTCTAATTTTCAGCTAGATATTTGAGCCTTCACAAAATTTTGTAACAAACTCAAATGCCACATTTTTAAAAAGAAACATTTTCTTCTTATGTCATGGATTCTTGAAATAGAAACATATCAAATACTAAATGCTGAGTACAAAAAATATTAGAATAAGGAGTATATACAGAAAAGTTGAAATTTTTATCAGTTGAAAAAATAAATGTCTGAAATTCCATATAAAATTAAGGAGGCTAGATCATTTGATTTATTACCAGTACTTACCAGTTGTTTTTCCAGGTAGATTGACCAAACCACAGCATAATGACCCACTGTGAGAATTATGAACAAAAGTAATGCCAGCTCAGCATTGCTCATTTTTCTCACCCGCCTGTAGTAGAATACAGGCTGTCGCCAATCTGGAAGTCCATTGATCAGAATATCATCATACCTACAGCAGCAAATATAACAGTTTTTCATAGGGAGTTTAAAATATAAACAAAAAACTTTATTTGTGCTTATATGTAAAAAGAGGAAAGAGAAAAGAATTTCTCCAGAAGGGATAACATTTATATAGATTATCAGCATTACAATGGCCTATAAATCAAAACATTGTATCCAATCACAGACAGCCTTCAAAAAGGCACACAGTGATCTGCTGTGGATCCCGGACCCTGTGTGTTTAAACCCCAGTGATGTGACTCCTGTAATGGCAGCTAGGCTGAAGGAGCCAGAGTCCACCTCTCCACTGCAGGCTGCAGAGGGGCCCCGCCATGAAAGTCAGCAACAAGAGGAAGGCTCTCAATGGGAGAAAATCAAGATAAGAGCTCTGTTTGCTACCATGAATTATATATTAATGGAATCAAAATCAGGATAAATTTTCTAGTCAGTGCTTTTATTTCCACCCCTTTACAAGGGTTCAAGGTTGAAATATTTATCATTTTATCAAAGCTTCTTAATGACATAAAGAGCCTATAAAATGAGCACTTTTTAATTTTATGTTGGTCACATTCCTTTAGAGAATAAAAAATTCCCAAATTAGGAGATGTGGAAACAACCAATTTCTCGATAAAACTGTTTATTTGTAAACATTTAAGTGGCAATTTCCTCATTTTTTGGCTTTGCTGAAAGGAAAGAACATAACAAATAGCTTTCCTAGTGATGCATTTTAAATCTGCTTTCTTTAGAAGGAAATTTCAACTGAATTTAAATTTACCCGTCAGACAGTTATTGAGGCATATATTTCTAAGGTTAAAAATCAGGAATAACATTTATGATTGTAAAACTCAAAATGGTCACACACAAACAATGTTCAAAACACACAACCTGTTAATCTTAGTTCAACACAACTCATTAAATATTCTAATCACACTATTTCCAGAATTAAATCTTCACTGAAAGGCCTAATTTGGTGCAACACATTGACCAAAATATTTTAATTAAAAATATTCTGAGTTAGTCGCAGGCCTAATTACAGGAATAGAAATAGGGCCTATATTGTCAGGCAGGTCAGTAGAACTCAGTAGTAGGTTTTTCTCAAGTAAATTGACCGATCTAGGAATAATAGCGCAGCTGCTAAACTGCCAGTCTTGACATGTAAATCAATTTAAATGCAACAACTGCAGTAGCTACTTTGATAGTTATTAAATTGATACCTTGGAGATATGCTTAAAAAAATAAAGCAGAGGATTTATTACAGGCAACTTCTTCTTTCGGTACAAAAAAATATTGGTTATAAATTCAAAATATATTTTATCAGGCTATCTAGAAAACGTGTCTTTTAGGATCAACTTAGATTATTAATAATAATGGCAGATCAGAATAACCAATGTTCAAAGCAAAGGACATTAGTGGTACTAAACTCTTAAAGGCAGGCAAATTGTGTAGTATACAAGAATCTGCTAATTAAAATATGGTTGTGTAGTAGCTGGGCCAAAGTTTGATGTTTAATATTCCTTTTCAATATTTACATAGCAATTCCTGAACACTAATATCAAGACATAATAACACGATTTCATCAAAAGTTATCATTCCTGTCCAAAAAATTTATCTTTAAATCTATTTCTGTAAAAACTGACTCATTTTAGATTAGAAATGGATTGGCAAAAAGGTTTCAAGTGGTATAATGCAAGATTACAACATCTGAATGAAGTCCAATGAATGAAGTCCTGAATTTATTCTGAATCTACATTCTACTTCAGATTTGTTGAGGAAAAAAGGCAGAATATAAAAATAATTATTTTCAGCTCATCTCTCCCATGAAATAACTTCAAGTAAAAAGTGTAGCTATTAATAAAGAACATCTAAGAAAGTGGCGACAATTCCCTAAGAGCATTGCTAAGTGTTAAATTTGTTTTAGATCTAAACTGTACTGGAAGAAAACCCAGCTGAGCTCATAGCTGCGAATCTCGTATCAAATATTTTATCACCATCATCTTTGAAATGCTATGTGTCTGTTAATAGCTACTATTTTCTACCCCACATATAAATTGTTAGTGCACAGCTAAATTCAAGATAGAAAAACCTTATGCACTGAACACATTAAACAAAACTAGATATTTACTAGGCTACGTCTGCCACTCTAAACAACAGTCTCCAAGGATTAAGCTTAGAATCAATGCTCTATTGATTTTACTATCAATGAACATTATGGCTCACACGACTGGCCATTTTAAGGGAAGATAGCTTCTATTATAGTTCACTTTTTAGAATATATGCTGTTGAAAGATAAATCACTGCTTTCCTGAAACACTGAAAAAATATATTTCTTAAAATATACACAGACATTATATTCATAAGTTATTTAAGAAAAAAATGTTGTGTTGACAACATATAAAATTTAAAACATCACTGTTATGCCTTTTCTATATTTAACACATAACACTGTTAAAATAATTAAGCTCATACAAACTGCTCTTAACAATTTGTTAAAATCAGATTAAGAATGTACACATGTATGAATATTACAAGAAAATACAAAAGTAAATTTCTATGATAAAAATATCACTAATGTAAAAAATCATATGGAGCTATTAATTAGAAATTAAAACATTCATCAATTCTACATATGGCCTAATACATGTTTACATCATTTGATTTTCTTAAAATACCCATGATGAACATAATAATGGTTACATAATTATGTGAGCTCCATTCTATAGTCTGCAATTCATCAAATATATTTAGCTTAATACAAACATTGGAAAGTAAATCTAAAAATGTTTAAATTACCAGAAGAAAAAAAAGTATGTAAATTAAAAATATTATTAGCATGCTTTGAAGAATAAAATAGTAACTATGAAATTAAAATAGAAAACATGTATATTATGAAAATGAATATTGAAATAATTCTAGCATTTGCCTAAATTGTGAATCTCCCACTGTAAAAAGTTAGAATTTTTAGCTTAAAAGAGTAACAACATCTACTTAGGTCACATACTGAAACTTAAGAATAAAAATTAATTGTACAAAGATCATAAACAGGAAACAAGCTTAAATTAATTGATCTTACTCTCCTTTATAAAATGTACATATGTGCCAAAAACTGTGGTACACAGCACTTTATATATTGTATATAATATGTGTCTTATAATATCTCCTAATTAGGGAAGGTACTAAGATAGATTTCTTATTCTCAGGTTAATGTTTATTTTTATTCAAACACAACTGTAATCAAATTTACAATAAGGAGGTAATGGATTTGTAAAAGTTTCACAGATTAAAGCTGAGGAAACTATACTTTCCGTTGGATTTGTATATAAAATGTGACTTTACTTAGTAAACTAAAAAAATACACTGAACTTTTACAAATATAGTACCATAAAATAGACACAAAAATTTTAAGTTGCACAAGAGGGTTAGCAAAAGAATACTGGTAAAATTTTAAAATAGATTTCAAACAAAAGTAAATATACTAATATTACTAAAGCACAATCTAGTGTATATATGTAGTGATTAGGATCTACTCAGTACTTTATTCCAGCTAACACTCAGGGCACTTGGATAGAAATTTATGTCAGAACAGAGCTGAGCTGCTATTTCCTAAAATAAGCAAGTTACCTAAGGAGTTCAGAAGACTTCTATATTAATCTCCCTTACAAGAACCAGGAAAACTTTTTTCATGCTATAGTCTATGCCTTTGGGAGGAAAAAAAAGCTTAAAAGTTTATTCACAATTATACTTCTAGGAATCTACCCAAGAGAAATGAAAAATATCCATTCACACAGACTTGTGTGTGATAATTCACAGCAGCGTTGTTCATCATAGCCAACAAGTGGAGACGACCTCAATGTCTATCAGTTGGTGAATGGATAAACAAAAGTGGAATGTGGAATACTATTCAGCAATAAAAAAGAATGAACTACTGGTATATGCTACAATATGGATGTACCTCAAAAACATTTTGATAATAGAAAGAAGTCAGATGCAAAAGACTACATATTAGATGATTTCATTAATATGAAGTGTCCAGAAAAAACCACATTTATAGACACATAAAGGAGATCAGTGATTGCCTGGGGCTGGGATCAGAATGGGAAATGCCTGCAAATGGACTTGAGGGAATGTTCTGAGGTGACAGAAATGGTCTAACACTGGTTGTGGATTGCATGACTCTGTAACTTTACTAAAAATCATGGAATTGTACACTTAAAATAGGTATTTTTACTAAAAATCATGGAATTGTACACTTAAAATAGGTTACTTTTATGGTATGCAAATTATACCTAAATAAGGCTGTTTAAAAAAATAAAATTTGCCTATTCCTTAAAAAAAAAAAAGGTTACCCAGTTTGTTATTTTATCTATTTCAATGCTATTCTCTTTTCTACCAAAATTTTAAAAATGCACCTGATTTCAGTGAAAATACAATTATTTGTAAGGAAAATAAATAGATAAAAATGTCTATGACAATTTTCCAAATTACAAATTCCTGGAAGGTTACACATTACTTATTTAATGAATATTTATAATAAATAATTGTGATACCAAAGAGCATTTTTAAATATCAGTATAAGACAATCTTCTTTCAGAAGATAAAACTATGGCTTTTTTTTTTTCTAAAGGAATTATAAACATTAGATAATTGTCTGTAGAGGTGCATTTCTCCTATATGTTTAAATACTCATAGGTCACCCGGCCTCAGGCGCAAGCTTTAGAGGAATGATTCTCAGCTTGATTAGCTAAGACTTTTGCCTCAAGGAAAACCAGTTACCAAAGAGTTACTTGTGCCTCAAGGGGTATAAATACTACAGCTGTTTGTGTAACTGTCAGATCCATTTTTTTCTACTAACACTCTACAATAAATGCAAAGGAAACTAATCCTAAAAAGAAAATGTTAGGTGAGTCTATGTTGATGAAGAAACAATTTTTACATGAGAAGTGATTTGTTCTGAAAAGATATAAATGATTTCGGTAATTGGAAGAAATTGTTACAAAGTTTACTGACTTTTAAAATAACAACAAACAAAAAGGCAAAATCTGATGCCAAAGATGTAGAGAGACTAAATAAAGCTATCTTTACAGACACGTTCTTGATGTGTGAAACAAAACTAGGGGCTCAGTGAGAGAAACCAACTAGAAAATATGCACAGAATGACCAACACTTCTTTCAACACACTCGTAGGACTCTTTCAACACTATGGATTATCTCAAACCAGAGGAATGTCTGCTATGGTATCTGGACCAATGCCAGCCCCTTATTATAAAGCAAAGAACTCTTCAAGAGAATATACTGAGTCCTTGCTTTGCAATCTGACAAACTGAGGTATTCAAATTAAAGAGTTAAGATGAGAACCAAGAGTGGCAGCTGACATTGTAGGATACAGAATAATTCCAGGTAATACATTTGAAGAAAGATTCAGAAGGTCACATTGCATACTTTTTTGGATTGTCTTTAAGATATATTAGCCTCCATAGAGAGATACAGATATTTAGGCTGGCGTTAGCCTAAAGTGTCAAATACCTACTTTTTTCTTTAAAGGTACTCCTACTGTAAAGCACTGTTTTCAAACTACAGATTGTAGCTCACTAATATCTCCTGAAACCAACTTAGTGGACCACAATCAGCATTGTTTTTAAAAAGAAAGAAGACTCGTCTAGACTAGCCTAGAATAGAAAACATCAGTCTGTTTCACACACAATAAGTGTTTTGTCAAATTTTTGTTTCAGTTGTGTGTGTGTGTGTGTCCTGAGGCATGATGCAAAATGTATTTCTTACCGTGGGTCTGACTTAAAAAAACTCTGAAACTGGTCACAGTAGTGTCTACCTTCCACACATTCGGAAGAGCAGAGGAAGGGGGTCTCTCTGCAATTTCCTCTTAAGTCACTAGCATATAAACCACTGTATAACTACATTACTACTCTGCTGAAAGAGGCCCAGAGAAGTCTCAAAGTGAGGTGGCTGCCTCTTCTCTGACGTTCGACCCTAAACACAAAATCACTGGAGCAGAGGAAGGGAAGGGATGGAGGCAAAAGAAATAGGAGAAAGAAGCAAATATTTTCCTTCTACTCCTATCTTCTACAGACTTACACAAGTCTGTTCTCTCACTCACAAATTGGGTTTATTATTTTGAGGATGAGGAAACACCAAGAAATGGTAATAACTTGAATACCACTAATCGCCTAATTGCAAAACATTTAAGAAATAGAGGGGGGAAAAAAGCCCCCCAAGCGCAGATAGGAGCAATTACTGATATATCAAAAATGAATAGGCATTTGCTTGAAGTCAAGTAGAATTTTATTTCCCAGAGCATAGATACTCACATTAAAAATATTAGCTAATGAAGCCATGATCCTGAAGTCTATAAGTACTGAATTAACCTAGTGAATATTTTCAATAGAAATTAACTCTCCTATAAACATACATTTTAAAAACAATGCACATCTTGAAAGGAACGAAAATAAAATACTAACATAATAAAATGTTTAACGAGACAATTCTCTCCTTTATAAACTGAGACATCAAAGTATAACATCTTAATTCAAAAGCAGATGAACACTCACCTCTGCCTTCGTTCATCATCCTTTAAAACTTCATAAATGGCCACCAACTAAAACAAAAGCATTACTTTAAAAATAATCTCAACTATAGGAAATCACTTAGGGAGACGAACACACTATAATTCACATGCAAAAACCCCATGCACTCATATATACAATGAACAGATAAAATCTTAATTATAAGTAACATTTTACGGTTTTGGTAGCACCTTAAGAGGTTAAAAAAGGCTTGATACCAAAATCTTTTTGAAAGACGCAAAACTAATAATTATCTTAACATGTGATTTTTAAAAGCAAAAACTGTAAGTTAGACAAGAAAATTATGACAATTATGACCCCCCCCAAAATTTAGTGATTCTAATATAAAAAAATGTTGGTAAAAGCATATTTTGTAAAAAACTGAATAAATACATATACATTATATTTCTAAACTACAATCTCATTTTAAATGGAAATATTCTACGTGTCGGTTACTGTTTCTACCATAAACATTTATTTATAAATTATCACAAAAATACATATACAATAACAGCATATTTCACTTACTTGTCTAAACTGAGTTTCTGCATTTTCATCTTTATTCTTGTCTGGATGCAAAGTTAGTGAAAGCTTACGATATGCTTTTCTAATGTCTGCAGATGAAGCATCCTGGGGGGGGGGAGGGGAAAAACACAAAGCAAACTTTGTCAGTAAAAGAAATTCCCAGAACCTTGTTAAGATCTGAGAAGACAGCCAACCAAGTGCAGGACCCCAGGCAATGTAATTTGAGCAATCAGTCTAACAACCAGGCTATGCAACTAGCCTGACCCACATGACTGAACAATTATTCAATCTAATTTGGCTCTCCTCTTAACTTTTCATTACCATACATTCATTTAAAGAAGACAGTATTTGGCAAAACTTTTCAAACACTTGCCTTCCTAAAATTAACCAATAAATCTTTTTCAGTAATTAAGAGATCAAAAAGAAACAAATTAAAAATTAATACATCCGTGTGCCTTCAAGGAAGGTCTTTATTTATCTGAGAATCCTAAAGCCAATGTCTGAAGCCCAGGCTTACCATATGTGGTTGCTTCATTGCTATTTATATTGAATTTACCATGAAGCAACAACCTATGGAATCTCAATTTCACATGTCAAAAAGTATGCCTATTTGAAGGCAGTTAACTTTGCATTTACCCAAAATAATTATAATTAGAAGTAGTTATGTATATTGTCCTTAACTTTTTTTGTTAGTACTTTATAGGTTATTTTCAATGCTGTCCAGTTTCCATAGTCTGATTTGCAGAAATAAATTTGCCCACTATTTATGTATTACTAACATAGTTTAAATATATTTTAAAAGGTCACAATAGTTGAGGAAAAGTACTTTGGATTAAGTGGATATTAAAGTTGAATCTTATGTAATCTCGTGTGTACGTGTAAACTCAGAGAACATCATTTTACACGGCCAGTAAAAAATATATGACAATAACAAAGAACACACTGTTAAGTTGGGTATAAAACTTGATCTCCACTAAATTTAAAAGTTACTACAAAAAGTAACATTCATAGTGGGGCAAAATGAGGATAAAGTTGCTTATTAAATTTTATCTTGTTTTTTAGCTGAGTATTTGTTCAATTAATTCCTAAAACTGATGTACTAAAAAGTTCAAATGACTAAAAAAACAAAACATAACAAAAGTCTGTGTACCTGGGACTAAATAGCTGTTAAAGAAACAGAGGTGGAAAGAGGCAAAGTGAGACTACAATTAGTCTGTCAAGCTCTCTTTTATAAACCAATACTTTCATTACCAATTTTCTGGGGCTTATTGCTCCAGGCAATCACTCTACTTTAAAGTTTCAACTTAGGTGTGAATATTTTTCTGACTTGTGGAGGGCTGAGGAGCTATAAAATTAGTAGAGTAAGTTTCGCAGGTAATATGGTTATAATTTCCATTCTCATTTGCTCAATGGAATTGATGTGTTCCTTATACTTAAATGATAGGTAGCATGTAGCAGAAAAGGATGATTATTTACTGAAACTCTGTGATGGAGATTTTGTTGAGCAAAGAGGTCAAGTGTCAAATGAATTCTCATTCCCTAATTGGGACTTTAATTTTAGATTTTTTAAAATTGGGACTATATCACAGAGAAATACCAAAAGTAGATTTCTTACAAAATATGAGTGTATGTATTTGCTTATGTTACAAAATTAATACATGCTCATTATGGAACATCTATGACTTACATAACAGTCACCTAAGACATTTCCCTCCTTCCAGTCTTGGCAAGCTGACCCCAATCCTCCATTCTTCTGCCGCAGTATATACCGTAAGGGTGAATGTGGCCAGATGGCTCTCCTATTTCAAACCCTTCAGTAATGCCCAAGAACCTTCATCATCTGTCTTTTCCAGTCTTTTTAGCTTTATATCCCACTATCTTGGTCCATCCTCCTTGTCCCCCAAACCATCACACGATACGATGCTGTTCTCCAACTTGATGTTTTTGTTTTGCATCCAGCTGTAGATACAGACAGTTCTCTCCTGACTTAGAAATGGGCCTCTCAGGCTACACAGAAATACTGCCTATTTTCCTCTTGAGAATCTGCCCAGTAGGTTTATTTTACTAATAAGTGGAAAGAACTTATTAGTTTCATGCTAAGTGGACAGAACTGAAAAACTCAGAGGTCTTCCTATCTAAAAGACATGCTCTAGACAAGTTGCACCTCAAACTAGCTTATGTATGTATTAAATTTTAGTTAATTACTTAATGAATCTTAACTTATTTTATCCTCATAACAAAGCTATAAGATAAGTATAGTTGTTAGCAGGCCCATTTTACTGATGAGGTAAGTGAGGCAAAAAGAAGTAATTTGCTCAAGTTCATACTACTGGCAAATAGAGGAAAACAGAATTCAAACCCAGAAAATATTGCATCAGAATCATAGCTCTCTATGTTGATTCTTTAGATTCAGTTAGTAGATTTCATCTGAGCCACTTCACAAGGGCTAAAGCTTTTGGGAAGGCAGTGAGAACAACTGCTACAATCCTACTGAGCTGATAAACTATGTGGAAACCATCCCCATAACTACAATGGAATATGGTCAACTGCAGTTTTAATGGTAAAGATCCTGATATATGTTGGCTTTTACAGCACATTTTACGTCGTATTTCCACTAGAGACCTGACTGTTAGAACATTCATCTCACATACACAGTAAATTAGACGTTTTATCTCTCTGGCTTTCAGAGAAAAATTTTTGATAGGACTATGGGTGAACTGGCCATCTTTAACACTGTTGACATCAGGAGATCTACAGGGTTCAACTGCCAGAATTCTTTTCCTTCTAAATGTGATATGGTTTTTTGGCAAGCTGGACATGAATTATCATAATACTTGGATGACCTCTGTAAAGAAGAGATATATGGTCATTCTTTTTGGTTTTTTTTTTTTTTTTTTTGGTGGGGGGCTGTGCCATGTGGGATCTTAGTTCCCTGACCAGGGATCAAACCCGTGCCCCCTGCATTGGAAGTGCAGAGTCTTAACCACTGGACCACCAGGGAAGTCCCTGGTCATTCTTTATTAAAAAAAAAAAACTCAAAAAACCACAACAACAACCTATGAAAATAATATGTTTGTCAAAATTGAAAAAAATGTGATGAGACATCAATGAAAGTGGCAGAGTAGGGAACTCCAAGGGCCTGTCCCTGAAGAGAAACAGCAAATAACCTGGCAAAACCTGTCAGAATCAACTTAACCTGAACTCTTCAAACTAGTCAAAGGATTCCAGCAATCAGTCAAACACTTAGTCAAGCAAAAGGTAGCTAATTTGCAGTAAGGGTCCTGAAGATGCCAATCTGAGTTACTGGTGTGGGTTCCTAGTGTTAGAGTAAGCAAAGTGGACTTTTCTGTCCTCCAAGAACTGTGGCTGCTTGTTCTGGCCTGTCTTTTGGTTCCCTGACAGACTGTGTAAAGGGCTTACCTTTATTTTACTAAGCTCAGATCTCTCCCAGTGCAGAGCGGCAACTGTTCAGGACATTTGTCAAAAACATTTAATGGCAAATTTATCAGCACGTGCCAAATGAGGCAAGGGATGGCAGCTGGGGTAAACAATAGACACAACAAAAAGCTTAGGAGGAAAAACTGGGAAGTGAGATGCTTTGGGGAATATGGGATTTGAAATGCTTCCACCAGAAGACCCACACGTGTGTGCCCAAGGCAGAGTAGCCGCTCAAAAACACCTGAGACGGCCCTAAATTCGCATTTCTGGCTGAGCTTTAGGCTGTATACAAGCAGCAGGTGAAGTCTAAGGGTGAGTTGTAAACTGCCTAGCTGAGTGTTGAAGGCATGCCCCAACATATACACAGGACCCACTGCCAAAGATTTTGAGGTTTTTTTGTTTGTTTGTTTCTGGTCCCAAACCTTTAAGGAAATCTCTGCTGAATCATTAGCTGACCCCTAAGCTAATCAAACAGATGTCAGTGGCCACACATGGCAAAGAATATACACTTTACAAAATTAGTTCAGAAAAATCACTAGACAAACAAACAACACCAACCACAGGCAGCAAAAAACAAACAAACAAAAAAACCCCTGATGAGGTAAAATAATCTAATTACCACATTATATATTCAAAATGTCCAGTACTCATTAAAAATTATGAAGTATGCAAAGAAACAAGGAAGTATGGCCCACACACACAGAAAAAAGGAATTAACAGAAATTGTCCCTGATGAAGACCAGACACTGGATTTACTGGAGAAAGCCTTTAGATCAACTGTTTTAAATATGCTCAAGAGCATGTACAAAGAACTAATAGAAAGAACAAGAATGATGTCTCACCAATTTGAGAATATCAACAGAGACATAAAATTTTTAAAGGAACTAAAGAAAAATTCTGGACTTGAAAAATACAATAACTGAAATTTAAAAAATCACTAGAGGGGCTCAAAAGCAGATTTGAGCAGGTAGAAGAAAAAAATCTATGAACTTGAAGATAGGTCAATTGAGATTTTCCAATAATAGGAGCAAAAAGAAGAAAAAAAATGAAGAAAAATGAACAGAGCCTAAGAGATCTGTGGGACACCACCAAGTATACCAACATACATTTAATAAGAGTCCAAGAAGGAGAATAGAGAAAAGGGCAAAGAAAAGAAAAGACTGAAAACTTCTAAAATTTGATAAAAGACATGAATATACACATCCAAGAAATCTCAACAAATCCTAAGTAGGGTAAACACAAAGAAATCCACACCTAGAAACATTCCACTCAAACTGTTCAAAGACACAGAGAATCCTGAGAACAGCAGAGTGATTCATTATGTACAAGGAATTCTCAAAAACATTAACAGCTAATTTCTCATCAGAAGCCATGGTGGCCAGAAGTTAATGCAATGACACATTCAAAGTGCTTTAAAAAATCTGTTAAGCAAGAATTCTATATCCAGCAAAGCTATTCCTCAAAAAAGAAAGAGAAATTAAGATATTCCAATTAAACAAAAGATAAGAATTCATTTCTAGTAGACTTGCTCTACAAAAAGTGCTGCAGAGAGTCCTTCAGGCTGAAAGAAAAAAAATAACAGGGAGTAACTCAATTCATACAAAGAAATAAAGAACACTGATAAAGGTAACTATACAGATAAATATAAAAGTCAATATTCATGTATT